CCAGTCAAAATTTGAGCAATTTGTGGATATCGACAAAATAATTCTAAAGTTTATATGAAGAGGCAAAAAAAAAAAACCCCTGAACAGCCAATACATTGGATGAGAAGAACAAGGTTGCAGGACTAACACTACATGACATTAAGACTTACTATAAGGGTACATGTCTCAGTCTATTTTGTGCTGCTATCACAGAATGTCTGATATTTGGTAATTTATAAAAAACAAAGATCAATTTCTTACAGTTCTGGAGACTGGAAAGTCCAAGATTGAGGAGCTTGCATCTGGTGAGGACCTGCTGGCTGTGTCATCTGATGGCAGGAGTTCACAGAGCAAGAGAGTGCAGGCACATGTGCAAAAGAAGGGAGCTGAACTCACTCTTTTATCAGGGACTCACTCCCTCAATATTTTACCAATCCTGTGATAATGGCATTAATTCAATTCGTGAGGACAGAGCTCTCATGACCTAATCACCTCTTAAAGATCCCACCTCTCAATGCTGTTGTATTGGGTATTAATTTTCTAACACATGAATTCAGGGGGACACATTCAAACAATAGTAAAAATACAGTAATTAAAACAGTATAGTATTGGTGAAAGTAGAAATAAATAAATCCATGGAACAGAATAGAGAGCTCAGAAATAGAACAACATAAATCAAGTCAACTGATCTTTGACAAAGGAGCAAAGGCAATATAATGGAGCAAATGTAGTCTTTTCAACAAATGGTTCTGGAACAACTGAATGTCCATAAACAAGAAAAAAATATCAGTCTAAGCACAAACTTTATACCCTTAACAAAAATTAATCAAAATGGATCACAGACCTAAATGTAAATGCAAAAGTATAAACTCATAGAAGGTTATATAAGAGAAAATCTAGATGATCTTTAATTTGGCAATAATCTTTTAGATACAACACAAAAGTTATGATTTATGAAAGAATAAATTGATAAGCTGGGTGCCATTAAAACTAAAAATTTCTACATAGCAAAAGACATTCTTAAGAGAATGAAAAGACAAGCCACAGCCTAGGAGAAAAACACAGAAGATATGTGCAATAAAAACTATTACCCAAAATATGCAAAGACTCTTTAAACTCAACAGTTGAAAAACAAACAGCTTAATTTAAAAATGGGTCAAAAACTTTAATGGACACCTCACCAAAGAAGATACACAGTACTCAAATGAGCATATGAAAAGGTGCATCATATGTCATCAGGAAAATGCACATTAAAATACCAATGAAATACCACTACACACCTATTAGAATGGCCAAAATCCAGAACACTGGCAACACCAAATACTAACAAGGATGTGGAGGAACATGAGCTCTCATTCATGGCTGGTGGGAATGCAAAATGGCACAGCCACTTCAGACTACAGTTTAGTGGTTTCTTAAAAAACTGAACATTATACTTACTGTCATAGTCTGTTTAATGTTACTCATAAGAAAATACCTGAAACTGGGTAAGTTATAAAGAAAAGGAATTTACTTCTTAGAATTGTGGAGGTTCAGAATTTCAAAGTCAAGGGGCCATATCTGGTGAGGCCCTTCTTGCTACTGGGAACTCTGAAGAATCCCAAGGCAGCACAGAGTATCACATGGTAAAGGGGCTAAATGAATCCATTAACCCATTAATCTATGAATGGGTCAATACATTCATGAGGACAGACCCAATCACTTCTTAAAGGCCCTACCTTTTAATACCATTACATTGGGGATTAAGTTTCAACATGAATTTTGAAACAGACAAATATCCAAACAATAGCACTTACTATATGATCCAGCAATCATGCTCTTGGTATTTATCCAAAGGAGTTGAAAACTTATGTCTACACAGAAACCTGCACAAAGATGTTTACAGCAACTGTGTTCTTTTGCAAATTGATATGGTTTGGCTCTGTGTCCCCACCCAAATCTTACCCTGAATTGTAATAATCCCCACGTGTCATGGGAGTGACTCGGTGAGAGGTAATTGAATCATGGGGGCAAGTTTTTCCCATGCTGTTCTCATGGTAATGAATAAGTCTCATGAGATCTGATGGTTTTATAAAGGGTAGTTCCCCTGCACATGGTCTCTTGCCTGCCAGCAGGTAAGATGTCCCTTTGCTCCTCCTTCATCTTCCACCATGATTGTGAGGGCTCCCGGCCATGTGGAGTTGTGAGTCCATCAAACCTCTTTCCTTTATAAATTACCCAGTCTTGGGTCTGTCTTTATTAGTGGCATGAGAACAGAGTAATACACCAATACCTAGAATCAACCAACGTGTCCTTTAATAGCTACTGGAATAAAGAAATGTTGGTACATCCAGAAAATGAAAAATTATTCAGTGCTAAAAAGAAATTAGGTACCAAGCCATGAAAAGACATGGAAGAAATTTACACACATATTACTAAATGAAAGAAGCCAATCTGAAAAGGCTACATACTGTATGATTCCAACTATATAACATTCTGGAAAAAGCAAAACTATGAAGACAGTAAAAATATAAGTAGTTGCCAGGGTTAGGAGGGAGGGAGAGATGAAGAGTCTGAACACAGGGGATTTTTAGGCAGTAGAACTACTCTATATGATACTAAATGCTGGAAACATGACATTATACATTTATCCAAACCCATGAAATGTGCAACACCAAGAATGAGTCCTAATACACACTATGAACTCTGGGTGGGAATAACGTATAAATGTAGATTCATCAACTGTAAATGTACTACTCTGTTGTGGGATGTTGATAATGAGGGAGGTTATGTACGTGTGGGGGCAGGAGGTACATGAGAAATCTCTGTACCTTCCTCTCAGTTTTGCTGTGAACCTAAAACTGCTATTTAAAAATAGAGTCTATTTTTAGAAAAGGAATTGGTAAAAACAAAACAAAACAAAAGTAGCTCTACCACCCCCTGGCTGGGTGGCCTCAGGCAATTTGATTTCTCTTTTTCTCAGTTTTTCCATCTGTTAAAGGGATAATAACTATTTCTTAAGATTTGTATGACTTGAATGAGTTGCTATTGTCCAAGCATTTTAAATAGTGCCCGACACATTAAATATTTGTGAAATAGATTAAAAGTAGTATTCACCACTCTGTATTGTAACTATTGATGATTCAGCTGTATCACCTTTAACTAAAAGCTTCCTGTGGATAGACTCCATGTCTAGTTTGTTCAGCATTTGAACCTTTAGCTGGGCTGTGACACACAGGAGGTACCAAGGAAATATTTATTGAATGAGATGTCTAGCAGTGGAATGGGCTTCCCAGGAAATGGTGACTTCCTGTTGGTGTAATTGTTTAAGAAAAGGATGTGATGATCATCTGTCAGTGATGTTCCAGAGAGTATGCCTAACACATGAGGCTAGTAATCGTGGCTAAAATTTCTTCCAAATCTAAGATTGCATTATTCTATTTATATTTTTTCTTTAGCATTGTTTGCAGTCTAACAACAGTACCACCATAATAAAGGAATTGCATTTTTCAGCACTTGACACCTTCACCCTTAAATAGGTTCTAGCCATACCAAAATACTTTAGCCTTTAGGGTCTTCCTCTCTCCTTAGGCACATTACGTGCTTTTCCTTTTGTTTAGAATGCTATCTTACACTTGTCTGTTTCAGTTTCTGTATACATTTTCCAGAAAGGCTTCCCTGGTCCTCCACAAGAGTACTAATCGTCCCTCACATGATGCAATAGAATTTTGGCTTTGTATTTATCACATGTTATAAATACTACCTGATTGCTAATTCCCTAAACTGTAAGCTGCTTGAAAGCTGAATCTGTCTTGTCTACTAATCTTTTTCAATCACTTAATACACTGCACAATAGTAAGTATTCAAGGGCATGAATGAAACCATCTTACATAGGTCCATTGTTTTTCAATTGTGTGCATCACAATTTTTGAAAGCATTTTTCTTTTTATAAATGTTTGGCTAACCTGTTACAATGTTTTGTAGTAAAATTTTCTCTTAATGTCAATTTTCCATATCTGCTTAATGCATTAAGCACAATATGTAATATGCAAACGTGTATTCCAAAACAAATATGTGCTTTTTTTCCACGCTTAGAATTTAAAGTCTTCAAAGCAAGTTGGTTTTGTTTTGTTTTGTTTTTGAGGAAAATGTTTGGAGGTAAATAGATCAGGCCAAAATCAGCTAGATATCAGCCAATTTTGTCTGGAAAAAAAAAAAAAAAGAAAACAGTTTTTTCTTACTCTGAATGCCACAATTAGTGAAAAAGATGAATCTTGATATTCCAGGCTGTCTGAATTGCGCTGATGAGAGAAGAAGGAGAAACGTTTTAACCTTTGGAGAGTTTGGTGATCCCTACTCTCCCTTCACTCCCATTTATTTTGTGGTTTCCCACAAAGGTTCATTTAAAAACTGAAAAAAATCTCATCGATTAAGTTGGCCTTAACAACTTCTTTGGCCTTAAGAACTAGCAACATTTCTTTATTCCATTCTGTCCCTGAGGAAAATAAAGGGCTGGCCCTGCATCAAATTTCCAACTCAATAGGTAATGCAGAAAAAAAATTAATTGAATTTGTATCCGTATCGCAGAAAAATCATTTCATCTGGCACAATTAGAAGGTTCCTCAGACCCGTTACTCAGTAATTGGCATTTACCATACAAACTGATGACTCATGAATGACGACATATCATTCAGTGTCAGAAATCAATTAAGGATAACATTTCACTACATTGGTTTAGTGAAAAGCGCTTACTCACGTAGCGCAAGTCTTTCTTTAGTTCGTCAGACATCTATTGCCAGCTTTCTTCACTCTGCAGGTCTAGTTTTCCCCTCCTCTCCTCCTCCCCTCCCCACTCTCCCCTCCTCACTAACCTCTCCCTCCTCTCTCCTCCCTCCTCTTTTCCCCCTCCTCCCTCCTTTGTTTTTCCTCCTCCCCTCTCCCTTTCTCCCTCCGGGAGGCGGGACAAGGCTCGCCTGCGTCCCCCGTAGATTGGCAGGTCACTGGGACGGCCAGCGCGTGCGCACTGGCCTGTCCGCGGCCGGTGGACCATGGAGGCCCCAAGGTCCTTCGCCCGGGAGTGGAGCGCACAATCCCTCCCCCTGGCAGTAGGGGGCGTTTTGAAGCTGCGGCTCTGTGAGCTGTGGCTACTGCTACTAGGTTCTAGTTTGAACGCGACATTTTTGCCACACGAAGAGGACGTAGACTTTATCAACGAGTACGTGAACCTCCACAATGAGCTGCGGGGCGACGTCATTCCCCGAGGGTCTAACTTGCGCTTCATGGTGAGGCCGGAAGGCGGTTTCCCGAACCTTCCACGACCGTTGCCACAACGCCTCCCTCGGCCTCGGCAAGTTGGGGCCACTGCTCTGAGGCCGAAGGATCGCGGAGAACCGCACTTTTAGCTTGGATTTTAAAGTACACGTGAAGTTTATACAGAGAAAAACTGCGGACACTCAAACACATACTTATTACCATAATATTGCACAGGGCCGGGACTAGGGTGATAGAGGCACTGGCCTGCAGTGCAGATTTTAAGGGGGCGCCAATGCAAGAAAATGATATTTTAATGCAACGGGTTTTTAAAAATTAAAAATCAGTGCAAAAATATCAATATCAGTGATAAAGAAATGTTAACAAATTTAACAAAGACAGGAACCTTGGGTCTAGATAAGGGAAAAGCAAGTGCGACACTCTCAGGGTGGTGCAAATCAAGATGAGAACCTATTTATATTTGAAATTTTTAGCTTTTTCCATCACAGATGTCACATTAGCTTTGCCTTTTAAAAATATTTTTTATCTTGATTATTGGTTTTTATTTTATTTTTATTTTTGGTGCCCATTCCAAATTTGGCTCCTAAGGAAGTCTCTCAGTTTCCTCACCCTAGTCTTGACCCTGATTTTGCCTTACCTTACAATGCTGTTCTTGCTTTCCCCCTCTTTTACATCCTATAGTCATTTAACAGCTCATCAACTATTCCCTGGTTGCTATAAGTTTTCATGACTGTCATTAAAATGACTGAAAATCCAGCAAGTATTACTGTCCTTTTAGGGAATTAGAAGCTTCAAATTTATCTTATAAATTATATAGCAAGGACTACTTTCCTAGACATATCTTTTCTTCCTTCAGCATTAGTTCTTAGCACAAATTTCAGAAATGGGATAAATAAATTAAGGGTACGATATTTTTTATTTATTTAACACATAGCAATTGCTATGCTAACGGGCTGTGCCAAATTTAGCATATACCAGCTGTGTATAAATGTTCTGTTTTCACCACATCCTTACTGACGTGGACATGTTCAATTATTTGCTAAATGATAAATTATAAAAATGGTAATTTGTTTTAATGTTAATTTTAAGATACTATTTTGTTAGGACATTAGTTCTCTCTCGTTCATTTCCTTTACCTTTCATATTGTCATCATTTCTGTGTCAGATTATATGCTTTCTTGTAGAAATATGCTAGCACTTGGTTCTATCTGCGGAAGACACTTTTTTCTAAGCCAATTCTTTATCTTTTGAATTCAATTATAGAGTTTGGGGATATTTGGAAGTTTTAGCTGATTTTCCATTTTTTTGTGACTAGTTCTGTTTCTTCCCAATTTGAAGATTATCCTTAATCCTGAAAATTAATAAACACATAATACTTTCTAATACAACTTTTCATAGGTTTTCTATCTCATCCCTAAAAATTATATAGTATTTCAAACATAAGGTATATAAAATAATATACCTGTATACCCACAATCAATATTTTTAAATATGGACATTTTTAAAGGAATAGTATTTGATGTATAGGTTAAAGTCCCACCCTAAATGTTTACCCTTTTCTTCTTTCTTAAAGTTAATGTATATTTTTCCCATGTATTTTATTAGGACATAAATATTAACTGTAAATAGTATAGTCTATCGTAATAATATGGCCTATTTAAAACGTTTCTTTAGCATATTTGGACATCTTTTTTTAAATTATTTTATTGGTTATTTTTAGTATTTTAATATATGTATTTATAAATTCCAAAAGTTAGTATCTGTAAACTCCACCCAAATATTAATAAGATCTTAGAACACAAATTCTGAATACTTCATCCTTATTCATGCTATTGTCGTGTAGTACTTTTGTTCTACCTTGCTTTTAAATACCAAAATAATTGTTGTTTTTAAAAAATTGTATTACAATATACAGGACATAACATTTACCATTTTAACCATTTTTAAGTATATAGTTAAGTGGCATTAAGTACATTCGCGTTGTGGTGCGCCTGTTACCACCACCCATCTCCAAAATTTTTTCATCTTCCTGAACTGAGACACCATACCCATCAAATAATTACTTTATTCTCATTTCCCCTCCTCCCAGGCCTCTATCACCATTCTACTTTCTATCCCTATTAATTTTACTTCTTAAGGTACCAAATATAAGTGGAATTGTAGAATATGTGTCTTTGTTACTAGCTTATTTCATTTGGTAAAATGTCTATAAAGTTCACCCATGTTGTAGCATGTGTCAGGATTTCCTGTCTTTTTACAACTGAATAATATTCTACTGTGTGTATATACCATATTTTGTTTATCAATTCACCTGTCAGTGGATATTTAGATTGCCTCCATTATTTGGCTATTGTGAATAATACTGCTATAGACATGGGTGTACATTTATCTGCTACAGTTCCTGCTTTTGCTGTTTCTGGGTATATACCCAGAACTGGAATTGCTGTATCATATGATAATTCTATGTTCAATTTTTCAAAGAACCGCCATTCTGTTTTCCATAGTGGCTGCACCATTTTACATTCCCACCAAGAATGTTCAATGGTTCAATTTCTCCACATCCTTGATAACATTTGTTATTTTCTGTTTTATTTTTCTTACTCCTCTTTTTTTCCTAATGATAACCATATAGCAGGTATGAAGTGATATCTCGCTGTATTTTTTATCTGCATTTCCCTAATGATTACTGATGTTGAGTGTCTTTTTATTTGCTCCTTGACCAAGTTTTTCTCTTCTTTGAAAAGCTATTCAAGTCCTTTGCACACTTTTTGGCCAACTTTTTAGATTTTTTGTTGTCGAGTTATAGGAATTTTCATAGATTCTGGTTATTAATCTTTTTCAGATATATGATTTGAAAGTATTTTCCCTCATTTTGTAAGTTGCCTTTTCACTCTATCAATAATATCCTTTGATGAACAAAAGTTTTTAACGTCAATGAAGTATAATTTATCATTTTTTGTTGTTATTGTGTGTATTTTTTGTATCGTATCCAAGAAATCATTGCCAAATTCAGTGTCATGAAGCTTTTCCCCTGTGCTTGTTAAAGGTTTTATAGTTTTAGGTCTTTGAGTTAAGTTTTGTATATTGTATAAGGTAAGGGTCCAGCTTATTCTTTTGCATGTGGATATCCATTTTTCCTAACTTCATTTGCTGGAAAGATTGTTATTTTCCCCATAAAATGGTCTTGCCACCCTTGTTAAAAATCATTTGACCATATATACTGGTGTTTATTTTGGGGCCCTCTATTCCTTTCTATTAGTCTAATATGTCTGTATGCTATTAATAGTTCCACAACAATTACTGTAGAATACTGGTAAGTTTTGAAATTAGGAAGTGTGCATTCTCCAACTTTTTTCATCTTCTTCAAGATTATTTTGGCCATTCAGGGTCCTTTCAGATTTTTTATGAATTTTGGGATGTATTTTTGTATTTTTGCAAAAAAAAATACATTATTGGGATTTTGATATGGGTTTCATTGATTTGTAACATTTTGGATAGAATGGCTATCTTAACAATATAAAGTATTCCAGTACATTAACACAGGATGTCTTTTCACTTTCTAGTATCCACCTTAATTTCTTTCAGTAGTATTTTGTTGTTTTTAGCATATGTTTTTCCCTCTTTGGCTAAGTTTATTCCTAAATATTTTATTCTTTCTGATGCTATTGTGATGGAGTGGTTTACCTAATTCCCTTTCATATTGTTTGTTATTAACATATTGAAAAGCAACTAATTTTTGTATGTTGATTTTGTAACCTGCTACTTTTCTGAATTTATTTATTGGTTCTATTTTGTGTGTGGAATCTTTAGGGTTGTCTACGTATAAGATGATGGTGTGGCTATTTTTCTTCGCTTTGTTAATGTATTCTATCACAATGATTAATTTTTATATGTCAAACCATTCCTGCACCAAGGAGTAAATTCCACTGGATTATCATGTATAATTCTTTCAATGTGCTGTTAAATTCAGCTCTTTTTAATGTGCTGTTAAATTCAGCTTTTTGTTTTTGTTGAAGATTTTTATATTAATATTCATAAAAGATATTGGCCTATAGTTTTCTTATGGTATCTTTTTCTGGCTTTCGTATCAGGGTGATGCTGGCTTCATAGAATGAGTTAATAAATGTTCCCCCCTCTTCATTTTTGGGGAAGAGTTTGAGAATTGATGTTAATTCTTTAAATATATGCCTTGAACTCCTATTAGAATTCACCAATGACTCCATCTGGTTCTGGGCTTTTCTTTGTTGGGAGATTTGTATTACTGATTTTTATTATTATTTTATAAATGTATTATTATTTTAATAATTTTATTGTTTTTATTCAATCTTTTTACTAGCTATAGGTCTGTTTAGATTTTCTGTTTCTTCGTTACTACCTTTTGGTAGGTTGTATGTTTCCAAGAATAAGTCTTCTGTCTTTATTTCTTACTCAGTCTTGCTAAACGTGTATCATTTTTGCTGATCTTTTTGAAGAACCAGCTCATAGTTCTGCTGATTTTCTCTGTTGTTTTTCTGTTCTCTATTTTATTTATCTCTGCTTCAATCTTTATTATTTCCTTCCTCTAGTAACTTTGGGTTTCGTTCAATTTTCCTCTTCTACTTACCTATGGTGTACAGTTAGACTGTCGATTTGGAGTCTTTCATCTTTTTTAAAAAATGTAAGCTCTTACACTCTTACATTTTCCTCTTAGTGCTGTTTTTTGTACATTCCATATGTTTGAATAGTTGTGTTTTCATTTTCCTTTTTCCCGAGGTATTTTCTTTTGTGATTTATTTTTTGAGTCATTGCTTAAGAATGTGTTGCTTAGCATTATTATTTCATTTTTTTAAAAAAATTTTTTTTGAGACAGGATCTCATTCTGCTGCCCAGGCTGGAGTGCAGTGGTGTGATCTCAGCTCACTGCAGCCTTTACCCCTGGGGCTCAAGTGATCCTCCCATCTCAACCACCTAAGTAGCTGGGACTACAGGTGCTCACCACCATGCCCAGCTGATTTTTGTATTTTTTGTAGAG